ACGTGCTGTTAACTATCATTGAGCACACAGGAAAAGATCTTTTCTCTCTCTCTCTTTCTCTCTTTTTTCTTTTTAAATATGTTAAGATAATAACTTGAGCTCACCTACTACAATCTAAATATGGCTAAACTACGACATTTGTTTTTTTTTTTTTTTTTTTTTTTGAAATTTGTTTCGTATTGAAATAAACGGTTGATTTAGTCTTGGCGTGGTTTTAAACATGTAGTGTAATAGTGTCGTCGTGCACCGGGTAATTGTCACCGAATTAATTCATCATGGTTTGTTTTTAAAAAAATTCGCGAAAAAATGCCTTTTGAATTTTCACGGGTTTGGATTTTGATCCATCGTTCGATGGATCGATCAATCGAAATAAAAACGAAAAATTTTTTTTTTTTTCTTTAATCTCAAAACCCCGTGAAAATTCATAGAATATTTTTTTTTCGATATATCGATTGATCGATCGATGAATCGATTTAAAAATAATTTGTAATTGTTAACGATTCGTTTTCATTTCAATTGACTACGATAACATTTTATTGTCGGTCATTATTTAGTGATTGTTTTTAATGTTGTTTGTCTGTTTGTTTGTTTGTTCGTTCGTCATCGAACATTTTTGTTTTTTTGTTTTTTCTTCCCCCCTTTTTGCGTTGTTCGATAAATAAACTTTTGTTTTTTTCTCTTTTCTAAAATTCTTTCTTTTTTTTGGTTCGAGTTATGTGAAATGAAGTGATGAAAATTTTTAAAATAAGTGAATAATTGTGTTATTATTATTATCGATGTAATTGTTTCGTTTCGAATTCGTATATATATGTTTATATATAATTCGTATATAATATGTATATATATATGTTGTCGCGAAAAAATCTCTCTTTCTCTCTCTCTCTTCTTTTTTACGTTAGGAATTTCATTTTATTCGTATTAATAGACTCGTAAGTAGCAAACAGGAAATGTCAAAGTGATGATCAATCTCGATTATGATGTAAAAATCCGAATAAAAATCGTACCTGAACGAAACCCGAATGAATCGCGCGTGGATGGAGGTTTCGATTTTCCGAAAATTTCCTTCGGACATTTTTTTTTTTTTTTTTTTTTTTTAGTATACGAAAATAAAGGTAGAAAATCGATTTAAAATTAATAATAATAATAATAATAATTTTATGTCAGAACTTTTTTTATTAATTACAAAAGAAATCTATTTTCTTTTTCATAATAGAATCTGGAAATGTATTTATTATTTTATTCGAACGTGAAAAAAAAAAAAAAAAAAAAAAAAAATAGAAGAGCCAAGACGTATTGAATGCGTTTTAAAGTATCCCGAGGAGGTTGTTTTTCACATTCGTTGCAATAATAATAATAATAATAATAATAATAATAATAATAATATTAAAAAAAACTCGTTTGTAACGCGACCGAGTTAATAGTAATTATTATTATTATTAATATTATTTCCTTGGAAGCAAGTTTTGGTCGGAGAATTAAATGTCACCAGCCAGCAGGTTAATTTAAATCATAATTAAAATTATTATTATTATTATTCGTTTAATGCATTAATCCGCCTACAAATCAAAATTACCCGATATGGAAATTTTTCTTTTTTTTCAGGTTTTTTAGTTGGAATTATTATTATTATTAAACTCAGGTTTTTTTTTCTCTTTCAGTCGTTGAATCAAATCTTTTTTTTGTTTTGTTTTGTTTTAAACAAATCTGTAGAAACTAATTTTTTTTTTTGTTACGATTGATTTCGTTACGTAATTTATTTTTTTTTTTTTTTTCGTCCTTTGTTATTCCAGGCGGTTTTTTTTTATGTTTTGTTTTGTTCTGTTTTTTTTTTTTTTTTTTCGTTCATCCGTAAATTATTATTATTATTATTATTATTATTTTTTTTTTTTTCTTTCTTTCCCCCTTTCCCTTTCCCTTTTTCCCCCCGTTACAATGAAACGATGATGAATTTTTTTTTCTTTTTTCTTTTTTTTAATGAATTTTTTTTTTTTTCGTGGGTTTTTTTTTTATGTTTAACCTGGGAAAGATTTTCTGTTTTCCTCGTTGGAGAGAGTTTTTGATTAATTTCTTCAATAATAATAATAATTAATAATAATAATAATAATAATAATGATCGTCATTGTTCTCGTTATTGGCTCTGAGTTATAACTTTTTGAGAAAAAAAAATTATTTTTTACGGAAAGGAAAAGAAAAAAATTTTTTCCTTTTTTTTTTCCCTCCATTTTTTTCATTTTTCATTATCATCCGGTAACTTTTTCTTTTCTTTCTTCCTTTCTTTTTTTTTTTTTTTTTACTGCTTTAAAAAAGAAAAGAAAAAAACATAAATTTTCGCAAGGTAGAGGAGGAAAGGTGCAAATGGGAAAAGCGAGGAAGGGAAAAAGGGAAGAGGAGAAGGGAAAAGGTTTTTTTTTTCTAGTGAATAAAGCTAAAAATTCTGTTTGGTTTGGTTAACTCTTTTTTTTTGTCACGCACACGCACACACACGCAAACACACACGCACTTGAAAGTCGATTTATATTATAATGCCTGATTTTACAAGATTTTTTTTTTTCTTTTTTTTCTTCTTTTTATTTCTTTTGCAGATGCAGCGTAATTTGCTTTTGCAAAAGAAAAGTAGATTCAGAATTTTTTTTATTTTATGATTTTTTTTAATACAAAAGAGACATTCCTAAGTTATTTTCAATTTTTTTTTTTTTTTTTTTAATTTGATGAACGATGAACATTCACACACTCCATAGAGATTGAAATGCATAATGAAAATTAATATGAAAAGTATTAACTTTTCCGAAATGGGGAGGCGGGAAGGGAGAGGGAGAAAAAAAATTTGTTGTCTAGACTCTATATCTTTTTAATCTCTCTGGAATTTTAAATTAATTCCGTCGTGATTTTTTTTTAAAATAAATAATAATAATAATAATAATAATAATAATAATAATAATAAATGGAAAGGTATAAAAAAAAAATAAAGGAAAAAATTTTTTTAAAAATGAAATCGGGTTCGTTTGTATTACTTTAAACGTTTTGTTTTAACGGTTTTTTTTTTTTTAATTTTTAAGAATTGCAGGGAAAAAAAATTCATGAATCATTGTAACGTTTGTTTGTTTGTTTGTTTGTTTGCTTGCTATTTTTCTTGCAATTGAATGTTTTTACACAATCGCATTCAATCATTCAAATCGTTTTAGTAATTGAAAGAGAATTTTTTTTTTTTTTTTTTTTTTGCAATGGAGGACGTGTCCCGTGTCACACAAACGATTTTTAAAAAAAAAAAATTTGAAAAAAAAGTAAAAAAAAAAAAAAAGGAGGAGGAGGAAAAATGAATTTAGTTTGACTCGTGACACGTCGCGGTAAAAGTGTGCGGTTGCTTTTTTTTTTTTTTTTTTTTATTCGTTTAATTTCAAAAATGAAAATTCAAAAAAGAAAAAAATAAAAAAGCGTGGGAGAAAAAAGAGGAAAATTATTAGGTACGGAAATGATGAAAAAAGGAAAATTTCGTGTAAATTTCTTTCTCTGTTTCGATTTGACGAAAAATTTTTTTGTTCGGTTTGTCATTGATGTATAAAAGTGATGATGATGATGATGATGAACGCGAGAAACATGTTTTAAAGATGTTAGTAAAGGAAGTCCCGCGTTAAGTGTTTCCGTTTCCGAGTCACGCTTTTGACGCGATCGCATATTTTTTTGTCATTCGTCGGTTTCCTTGCATCTTTTTTTTAAAAGAAAGAAAAATTTTTATTTATTTACAAATAAACGTTCGCGCGTTCGTTTGCGTCGATACGAATCGTCATTTTATTTCCGCAAAAAAAAAAAAAAAAAAAAAAAAATTGGGTTTTTTTTCCGGGTCTTTTCTCTTCACCCTCGTCAAGGAAATGAGTTTCTCGTTACCTTTTTTTTTTTTAGAGGAGGAGGAGAAAAGAACGCCACACATTGTCTTTGTATATTTTTAGTCAATGATAATAATAATAATAATAGAGTCTTTGTGTTGTTTTTGGTTTTTTCTTAGTATACGTATACATCTGTTAGTCTTTAGTAACCTAATTTCTACGATCGTTTTACGTCAACAAAGTTTTTTTTTTCTCTCTCTCGTCTTCCTTTTCCGTCCTCTATTATCCTCTCGTTGATGTTTTTGTTTGAATTTTTTAGCGGATTTCGTATTTTTGTGCGTTTTAAATTTCAATTCAATATTTCGTCGTATCTTCTCTGTTCCAAATAAAAAAAAATAAAAAAATTTGACTGCACGTCGGATTCGGGTTGTCAAAAAATTTTGAATTTTAAACTTTTTGAAATTTCGCTTCACCACTTTAAGCTTTATTATTATTATTATTTTTTTTTTAAATTGGCAGTAAGTTAATTGAAAAAAAAATTCCGACCCATAGAATTATGTCAAATCCGTTGTTTTTGTTGTTGTTGTTGAAGTGTTGTGTCAAGTTTTTTGTGTTAGGTGTGAAAAAAAAAAAAAAACAAATTTCACATCCGAGCAGGTTTTTTTTGGCTTTTACCTGGGCGTCGTCTGCAAACCGTCACACTCGGTTTTTCAATTCATTTTTTAGCGTTAAAATAATAATAATAATAATTAAAAACGAAGAAGTGATTTTTCTTGTGAAAATTATTTCGTAAATAATAATTTTTCATAGAGGAAAAAAATAATTCGAAGAAATTAATAGAAAATGTTTTTCTCGGTTTTTTTTAGCAATGCTTCGCCTTTATTTTTAATAGGCTTCGAATCGTTTTTTCTTTTAATAGATGTGTTTGATTCTATTTATAATGATGTTGTAATAGAAAAAGTTGATAAACTAATCAAATGATTAAATTGTCAAGGCGACGCGCGGAAATAGTAAAAAACGAACAAACGAATAAAAAGACGAGGAAAAGAAAAAAAGAAAAAAAAATGATGTAAAACTTTTTTATTCATTTTTTTTTTTAGTGATTTCTTGTGAGGATTAATAAAGAATCGTTTTTTAAATTTAAAAAAAGAAAAAAAAAAGGAATTAAAAATTTGAAAAATGGCCGCATGTTTTAGCACGTTGGCATTTAGTGGTAAAAGACAATTTACGGATATCGACATTCCTGCGGGTCGTCCGCCGCGTCATAGTTTTTCTCACAGGCCCCCCCGAGGGCAAACGAATCGTTCTCTCGTAAAAGTTAAAAATTCAAATGACGTTCCTTCGAAAAATCTCCTGTCTTCGACGTATAAAAGTTTTTCCGATCCCTGCGAAAGTGAAGTTTCGTTCGAGTTGAGTCGTAAAAATCGATCGAAAAGGCACAAACACAGAACGAACAAAGAAAACGAATCCGACAGCTTGAGAATGAGCGATCATTCGAATTCGATACGGCGGCATAAAAGGGATAAAAGCAGACGAAAAATTCACGACGGTTACAGTTCAGACACTGGCCTTCTTTCGAACAGAAAGAAAATATTTTTGTCCACGTTCAAATCGAACGATAACGAATTCGAGACCGCGTTCCTGGAAACCCTCAGAGAAAAATCAAAATCGATACATAACATAGCGGAAGCGAAAAAATTTCCCATGTCTCAACGATTGAAACCTGCCACGATACCCGCGGATTTGGTCATTGAAAAATTGGATAAAATAAATCGGAAAAAATCGGGCGTGACCTTTTCCGAAGACGCGGAAAATTCGAGCGCTCCTAAAAAAAGTAAATATTCCGTTTTGAAAAACGAATTGCCGAGTTTGACATTCGAACAAATGAAAAAAGCGGCCAACACGATTCATCCGAAACTTTTGTACTCCACGAAAAGGTATCAGGATTTACATTTGACCATATTTTACGGTGACGAATGCATCAATCCTCTTCCGCCGGAAGAACCTTTGCCGGAAAAACTCGTCGGGTCTTTCAAAAGGTTCACTTACGAAACGGGAAGTTTGAGGAGACAAAGAAAATTATTTCGAAATTCTCTGAGAGGAAAAAAACTTTTTCGGAGTCATTCGGAAGGGAATTTAGATGGTGGTGGTGGTGGTGGTGATGGCGGCGGTGTCGGCGAGGATTCCATCATGTTTAAAAAATGTACCGGAAGGGAAATGAGAAAAGGAGAAGGAAACGAAATTGTTGTTGCTTCGAGCTCTTCACCTGGTGGCAGGTACCTACGAGTTTTGAATAGAAGCTGGAGAAATTTACTCACGAGTAAGTTGAAAAAATTTAATTTACGCCACCTTTTTCTTTTCTTTCTTTTTCGGTAATTAATATCCGCGGCGGTACACGATTGTTTTTATTATTATTATTATTATTATTATTTTCTTTATAAATTGTAGCAACGTAAGAGTCGTTAATGAACACGAATAGGTAGTAGTAGGCGATTTAATGGATTTTCCCTCTCTCTTTCTCTCTCTTTTTAAATTAATGTTCAATTTAAAATTGATTCTATATAAAAGGTTCATAAATTTTTTTTTTTTTTAATTTTCTGCAAAAGATTTTTTTAACAAGAGATTATCTGTCCGATTAATGATTTAATAATTATTTTATTTTGCCATTCGAGGAGTATTTTATTAATATTGGTTAGAAATCGGTAGAATTTATCATTCTCCTTTGTCAGTGCAGGCAACTTAACGAAATGAAAAAAAAAAAAAAAATGGCCAGATTTGAATATGGGAGGGAAATTGTTTCTCGATCGAAAGAGACATTTTTTTTTTTTGGACAAAGAGGATAATTTGGAGAAAATATTTTTAACCTTGTTTCAAACAAGAGGATGTGGAGAGTATTGCGGTCGGTAATTCGCAGACATTTTGTGAAAATGAAAAGTTTTTAAGGTTCGAAATCCTTATTTTTCCCCAAACGACCACTGAAAAATTTTCTTTTCATTTTTTTTTTTTTAAATAAAAAAAGGAAAAAAAAAAATTAATAGACTGTAGAGAAGTAAATTTTCCGCTCGTGTGTCCAATTTTTTCTTTTTTTAACCAGGTGGTGAAAAAGTTTTAAAAGCTGTTTTTTCTTTTCTTTAAACGAAAAAGTTTTCGGCGTGGTAAGATTTTCGAGGCGGCGAATAAAAAAAAAAAATTTTCGTCGCTTGTAAAAATCGTAAAAAAAAAAGAGAGAGAGAGGGAGATGGGTAGAGAGGGAGAGAGAGAAAAGGAAGGGAAAAATTAAATTAAGAATTTTTTTTTGTGTAAAATTCTAAATAATAAAAACGCCTTAAAAATGTTTTGAAACAAAAATTACTCCGCCATAAGAAGGCCAAAAATTTGAATTTTTTTTTTCCTAATTCACGCGAAAATGAAGGGTGGAATTTATTATTATTATTATTATTATTATTATTATTATTATTATTATTATTATTATCATTATTTTTATCCATAAAAGGTGAGAAAGGGTTGAGAACGAAATTAATTTTTTATTTATCATTTTATTCTTATCTTTATTCCATTTCATCGAGTAATTGAAAGTCAACCCGTGAGCAAACATTGTTTAAACCTTTTATCATCACGAGAGGGAGGGAGGGAGGGAGGGAAAGAAAGGAAAATTTTTTCTTCCCCCCCCCTTCATCCCCTGCCAAAATGATAAAACAAATTTTGTTAAATTTCACTTCGAAACATTTATTTTAAATATTGCGAACAAAATTTCGTCGGAAAAAATTGGAAATTTTTTTTTTTTAAATTCGTTCGTTTGTTTTATTTTAAAATATTAAATTTGATCTCATTCATTTTCCCGCCTTTTTTTTTTTTTTTTTTTTTTTGTTGCATCTGTTTTAAACGGAGGTTTTAACGTCCAGCTCCAGTTCGGAAGTTTAATTATTACTAAAATACCTACCTGACTTTTAGAAAAAACGAAATAATAACGACGACGGTTACAACTAGAGCAACACGTTGCAGCCACACCCATTTTTTTTTAAAATGTCTTTTGACACGACCGATCCCGTCATTCATATCGTCTTTTTAACATATTTCGATTTTGTTTTGTTTTGTTTCATTTTCGGTTCTTCCTTGCAATTTCGTGCATTATTATTTTTTTTTTTTTACAACACAATGTCAAAAATGTATATAATTCGTTTGTCTCCCACTCGAACGGATTTCTCTCTCTCTCTCTCTTATTATTTACTATTATTGTTATTAAAACTCCAACGTTTTTTAACCAAATTAGAAAATCTGACGACGGCAGAGAGAGAGAAAAAAAAAGAAAAATTCGTTTATTGTTGTTAACAATTTTTTTGTTATTTTTTTGAACTCCTACGATTTGCTTTTATAATGATAATTAACCGTAATAAAAATGAATTTTCGTAATTTACTAGAGCTACGCTTTTTTCTGTCTCTCTCTCTCTTTTTTTTTCGATGATGATATGCAAATTTAAAATGTAAAAAATAATTTTCAAAAAAAAAAAAAAAAAAAAAGTTATTTGAATGTGACGGTTTTTGATATCCGTGACAACCCCCCCCTCCCCAGGCGAAAGTCACGCTAAAGGTTTAAATTTTTTTTGTCGTTAATAAATCAGTAAATTTTCGAGTGATAAAGAAACTCGCAACGTGGGTTTTAAATTTGTTTTTATCTGAGTTTTTCCGTTTTTTCCCTTTTCTTTTTTTTTTTTAGCAGGTGTTTATTTGGTCTCGAACAAAAGGGAAAATTTTCTCTTTTTAAGAATGAAACGAATAAAAATTTAGCTTTTTTTTTTTTTTTTTTTTTAATGAAAACGTGAGGCATAAACGTCATAATCGATTATACGAAGAACCAATTAAACGATTGACGAACTTTGGACTTGAAGGTTGGCAACATTGTTGTTGCCAATTTTTTATTCTTTACGATTTGTTAACTTGTGCCATTTATTTAAAATTTTCGTTTCTTTCCCTCCCTCCTCTCTCTTTTTCTCTCTCTCTCTTTTCTCCACAAATTTTCATTAAAAAGCGTGTATTTTCTTTAATTAATTGGGGGCCCCCGTCGATTAACTCTTTCGTTTAATTGGTATTTAATAACAGTTGGAAAATGAATGGTGATAATAAGAAAAACCCGTCGTCGTCGTCGTCGTGCGATTCCTATAACAAAATTTTAATGAGAGAGAAAAAGAGAGAGAGATGCGTAAGGTTTTGCGTGATTGCGCGAATACGAGGAAATTACAAAATAACATCATCATATGGCATTAATTGAACCGATATGAACTTTGTTTTTCACCTTTTTTTTTTTTTTTTTACTCATCCCTTCTTTTCTCTCCTTCTCTCCTTTCATTTCATTTCATTTTATTTTTTTTTTTTTTATTTCGTTCCACCGCCTTCTCCGATAAAAAAAAATGAAAATTAAAATTGTACAAATCTTGTTGCATCGTCGTTTAACCCACGCGAGAGTTAATTATAGAAAAATTTAAACCTGTTTTTATTATTATTATTATCATCATCGAATCTCGTGAATTAAATTGCGAGAATTGAAAAATGAAAAATTACGATTCTGGTTGTGATATTGCCCCTCCTCTCTCTCTCTCTCTCTTTTTTTCCATTTCGTTTCGTTTTGTTTTGTTTTTTTTTTCAGTCGTTTATCAGTCGTGTTTTATAAACAATTAATAATTTGTTTTTATAGTGGGTACAAATGCGTTTCCCGCCCCCCGCTTCTCGCTCCCTTACAAAACTTTCTCTCTCCCTCTCTCTCTCTCTCTCTCTCGCGTTGTTTTCATCTAACGCCATCGATTTAAAATTTTTTTTACGATGTCGGAAAAAAGGTTGAATAAAGGCCTTCTTCACATCTTCTTCCACGTCATCAAACTCGTAATGATATTAAATAGAAATTTCGCACCTGGAGTTTTTAATTCTTTCTACTGATGATGATGATGATGATGATGATGTTTCATCTCGGTATTATCGTAAAAATTGACGGAAAGGTTGAAGGTGGGGAAAGGGGAGAAGGGAAAAGGAAGAAGGGAGGGAGAAAAAAAGGATAGGCAAGGCGAAAGGTGTAGTAAAAAAAAAAAAAAAAATTCGAAAAGAATTAAATTATATTTATATTAATTAGAATTCTCACGGAGAATTAAAAATTTTCCAGAACGTTTCAAGATAATTTTCTTTTTTCTTTTTTTTCTTTTCTTTATTTTTTTCTTTATTTTTTTCTTTATTTTTTTATTTTCTTTTTCCTTTTCACTTTTTTCTTGCGTAATTATTTCTTTTTTTTTCCTTTTTTTCCTTTTTTTTTTTTCGTCTTTTTGTTTTAAATGAAAAAAATGTCGTTAACTTAATTAGAAATTCGTTACGGAAAAAAGTTTTTGATTGCAAAAAAAAAAAAAGGAAAAAAAGGAAAAGGAAATAAAAATAAAAAATAAAAAAAAAAAGTAAAAAGGAAGGAAAGAAAGAGAGAGAGAGAGAGAAAAAAAAAAAACTTGAAGTTTGTAAATATTTTTATTTTATTTTTGCAGTTTTTTTTTTTTTTTGTTTTAATGGTTTACGCGTGCTTTTAATTTTTAATTTTTTTTTTGTCTAGAGCCCCGAACGGTGCAAATTTCGATTTATAAAAAACGGAAAATTTTTTCCCCTTTCTTCCCATCCCTCCTCCTCACCCCCCCCCTCGAAATTAAATTTAAAAAGGTTTGAGAAAAGAGTTTTTTGTTTTGTTGTTGTTTTTCCTTTTTTTTTTGTTATTGTTTTCCGTTGTTGTTGTTGTTGTTGTTTTCGTTCGTGTTTTGTATTCTTGAAACTGTCGTCGCTGAAAAGACGTCGAGGGAGGGGGGGGGAAACGAAGGAAAATTTTAAGAAAAAAGGCGAAACTGATGCGAATGGGAAAATACGCGCGTCGAGTAAAGAAATGGAGAAAAAAATCTTAAAACCGTGACAAATAATAATAATAATAATAATAAAATTTAATTTTGAAATGAACGTGAAAGTGTAAAATGTTGACAAATAATATGCATTAACGTATTCATAACTTAATAGAACGTGGAATTAGATTATATGTGATGACAAAACCAACCAACTTGTATTATTATCTTTGAAGGGTGAAAAAGAAAAAGAAAAAAAAAAGAAAATTCGATCGAACGGGAAAATTACATCCGAATTTTTCCTCTTTTTTTTTTGTCGAAAAAAATATTTTGCATGAATGGTCAAAAAGAATAAAAAATGAAAAAAAAAAAAAAATTTGCACGTTGAAAAGTAAAAACGAAAAAAAAAAAAGAGAAAAAAACGAAGAGAGAGAGAGAGTGAGAGAGTGAGATAGAAAATAGAAATTTTTCGAGGATTTTCGAGTTTGTCTAACGTGTGATTTATTTCACGTATGACAATTTCCCGTCAATTTTCTGTCGCGATGCTTGCCTGCCTGCCTGCCTGTCAAAATGTATGAGTGATAAAATCTAATTATTATTAT